CATTTCCCCTTGTTGAACTTCATGAAGTTCCTGTCAGCCCATTCCTTCCGCCTGTTGAGGTCCCCCTGGATGGCAGCACAACCCTTTGGTGTATCTGCCACTCCTTCCAATTTTGTACCACCTGTGAACTTCTTGAGGATGTGCTCTGCCCTATTAGTCAAGATGATGTGAAAGAGAATTGGCCCCAGTACCAACCCTTGGGGTACATCACTAGCGACCTGCCTCCACTGGACTTTGTGCCACTGATCCCAACCCTTCAATCCACCTTGCTACCTGTTTATCTAGCCCATACTTCCTCAGTTTGTGAGGAAGCTGCCAGAGATGGTGTCAAAAGCCTTAAGTAAATTCAAGATAAACAACATTCACTGCTCTCATTCAACAAAACAATCATAGAAGGCTGTATGGTTGCTTAAGCATGATTTCCTCTTCATAAATCCACGGTGAATACTCCCGTTCTTCTTGTCCTTAGTGTCTCTGGAAGTGATTTCTGGGAAGACTTGCTCTGTCTCCTTCCCAGGGATTGAGGGGAGGCTGACTGGCTATAGCTCCTGACATTCTTCTCCTTCAAGGCAGGAGTCTCATTCTTCTACTCCTCGGGAACTTCCCTGAGTCACCATGACCTTTCAAAGATAATAGAGCACAGCCTTGCAATGGCATCAGGCAGCTCCCTCAGCACTTGGGTGTGTAACCATGAAGTTGCATGAACTCGAGCATGGGGTCCCTGACCCACCCTGTGCAACCCACTCTGCAAATCCCTGCATCTGCTAGCTGCTCTCTGGGACCTCTGCTCTAGGCCCAGCAGGTACGGAGGCTTCTCCCTCATACCTGCCATTAGTTACAGTAATATATATGCAATAAGTGTCACACCAGATAATTGTATAAAAATTAAATCAATGTTGCTAACAGTCACCTGGTCATTAGACAATTGTCGTAACAGCAAGATGAGCTACAAGACAGCTTCTGGCAGGCCAAGACAAGTCCAGACAAAGCCTGACAGGCCCCGAGTTACTCATGTAACGTAGAGCTTGTGGCCTCTTACAAGCGGTGGCAACACCACCACAAGGGTGAGGTACATGATGTGACAGTGACAGCCATTCCAGCTTCTTCTTCCTTTTCTAGTGCTTCTTCCAGTGTTTGATATACGCTTAGTTCCTCTGCAAGAAACTCTACCTTCTGTTTTCAAGATGGTCTTTCTACACACATGATGTCCTTGTTTGTACTGCTCTCAGTCTCAACCAAACTCAAGGACTCTGGCCCAGCCTCTCCGGAGAGTCTGGAGCGGGTCCTGTATTGAAAGACAGCAGTGGTCAGAAGGAGCTGCTCCTAATGACTAGTTCTGCCTAAGTGTGCAAAGAGGCCTCCTAGCCTTGAAATGAGCTTTTCTTTGAAGAACAGCCACAGGTTGCCCTGGCTGGGGAATGTTTGTTTTTACAAACCCTCTTAACAGCTGTCTGCATACAACACAACCCTTGGGTAACTGTCAGTTTGCACAAGGAGCTATTTCCTCCCTCAGCTTGTCAAAATAGATCACATGCTGTTGATCCCGGCCTGAAACAGAGCCTAGCACAGCCCCTGAAAGTGTGAGAGCACAGCAGGCTCCAGCTGCAGTGGCTTTGGCCACATCTATGCCTGCATCATGGTTGGAAAGACACTGAACTGCTCCATCAGCCTTGCAGGCTGTTGTGGGCATTGGCATCTGCCTGCCCAGCGTTTTGTTTAGAAAAATGGGGGGTTGATGGTTTGCTTGAGTTGCCTTAGTAGCACTCCTTTAGAATGGGGTCTTGGTTGTAACTCCACAGCAGGGATCCTGCCCACAACGGATGTTTGAAAGGGAAACCTGTTCTGTAACCGGTGCTGTGGGAAGCCTATGGGCAATCAGCCATGGCTCCAGTCTTCACTCCCTGTTGTAGGGAGTGTGGCGGATTTAGGGAAGGTGGAGGAATTACTATTGGCACCATCTCCCACAGCCATCTTTGAAGCCCTTCATAGCTCTTGGTGAAGTTGGCATGGCTCAGATTGCTGTTTCCCCAGGTGTGCTGGGTGGTGGTAGGCTCTAGCATATCTTGGGAGCACAGAGCTCTGTGAGATGCAACCAGAAGCTCTGTCAGTGAGTGGGTGTTTTGCTTCTCCCCATGCCCCCGCAGTCCCTAGGGCAATAGCACACACTGCCCAGCCCAGCTGGCATTCTGCAACCTGTGAGACAAGGTGAACTAACTCACTTGTACTCACCTAGAGCCACTAGGAACCACCCTGCAGCTTCAACTGCCCCGCACAAGTTGGAAGACAGAGACTAAAGCAGCAGATGACACCAGTAGGAGAGTGCTGCAGGATTGTGCTCGGGCAGCAGGACTTCATCACTGCCTTTCTTCTCAAAATAAGTGGGGTGAGTGGGGTGGAATGGATGTTGGGGTGGGAAGGGGAAGTGCAGCTGAATATAAATGGCCCCCCAGTGACTCAAAGCAGATGAGCAGATACCTATGGCACCCTTGTTCTCTTGTGTCTGTTTGGAAGGGGAATTCAGGAATCCGGTCTCTATATCTTATCTGTGATGATAAACTGTGCAATAAAACAAGTGCCTTGTTTTAAAGCTGGATTCTTCATTGGAACATGCATTACTTTGTCGTGATGGAGGTTTCTAGGCCACTCTCCAGTACTTGTGATGATTCTTGTCAGGCCTCTACACAGCCTTTTAATGTGTTTGTACTGCTGGGGCAAGTGGGAGTGGCAGGACAGTGAGTCTAATGCATTTCTCTTCTTTGTTAGACTCAGCCGGTTTCTGATTATAGAAGCTCATAGCTGTTTTTCCTGCAAATCAGTTGGCTTCAAGGAATCAAGGGGAGAACAAGATTCATTATTCCAAATGAAATCTTTGTCCAGCACTGGGGTAGGGTGGGGAGTTAAAATCAGGCAGTTTATTTCCAGGATGATATTGTGGTGTTTTCAATCCTCCATTTTCCATTCAGTAAGGTGTGAAGACTGGAGTGTGGCACTGAAATGAGCTCCCAGTACAATGTCTCCCTGGTGAACAGAGGTTTGGGAGCCATACAACGGATATCTCACCAGGCCTGTTGATTGGAAGCCAGGGCAGCCTAAGGCCTGAGGCGTGACCTGAGTCTAATGACAACTGTACTGCAAGGGCTTGTAACAACAGTCACTGGCTGGGTTAGAGCCACCAGAAGTTAGAATTCCAAAATAATGAGTTTAAAAAGTAAGACCTCAGGTGCCCGTCTTGCTTTGCTTGCTGTTTTCTCAGTCTGAGCTTGTACTGAAGGATTTCAAGCCTTTTTTTTCTGTCACCTGGGCCCAATTCCCCAGTGTCACCACAAACCGTGAGAAAGGGGCCTTTACTGCAGCTTGGGAAAGCATATGTAAAGGGATTTTCACCTTGGTAGACCACATATTATGTGCCAGGCCATATGGATCTTGTAACGTCTCATCTTCTGCTATTAGCTGGACTTAGTGGTCTTCTGGGCTGCCCCTTCTGCTGGGGAAGGTGGTTTTCTTTTTATTTATTATTATTTGTATATAGAGCTGTGTTGACATATACTGGCAGACCTAGCGTGGCAGTAAAATGGCAAGAAAGGACAGGCCAACTGGCAGGACATGGCAGTGCCCAACATCTTCCCAGACTTGACTCCCAGAGGAATCAGGCAGCACAGCTCCGCACTCGAAAGCCAGATTTCTTGGGGGACTGGGATGGGGTAAGTACTTAAATCCAAGGTTTATCTCCCAGACAGTTAACTCTTCTCTGTTCTTTTCAGGACAGCCTTGGAACTGGGCATAGTTGTTTGGCTTTTTTTAAATCTGGACACAATTTTTGGTTTATTTTTTTATTATTATTTGTATGTAGAGCTGTGTTGCCATATACAGGCTGACCTAGCATGGTAGTGAAATAGCAGGAAAGGACAGGCTAACTTGGTATCTCTGCCCTCAACTGGGATGCCTGTTGGGTCTGGGGTTGGATTATTTGTTCACCACACAAACTGTCCAATCCTAGGTCTGTTGCACAGCGTGATTTAATGACAAGGTGCTGTAAGCACATAGGAAGAACAGTGTGACATTAAGGATGATCTGATAAGGGGTTTCAGTGAGTTCCGTGGCCCATGAGAGAGAACGGGAAAACAGCAAGGGATTAGATCTCCTACCTCTGGGCAGGCTGCTACCCCTTCTTACACAGGGCAGTGTAATGAATAACTGAAGAAGATTTGTTGCTGATCAAATCTTAGGATTGTCCATTTCTGTTGTACATAGTGTAAGAAAGTCCTGACTGACACCAACTGCAATGCTATCAAAATGTGTCTATGTAAGCGAATGTTTAGCTTTGTACTAACCAAATGCATGTAAGAGATGGCACAAGCTGAATGTGCCACCACCACTTGTAAAACTCACCTGAAGCTGGATTGTAATTTACTGATCAAACAATTTAAGCAAGAGAAAGGAGCCCATTGTGGCAGGCTTGAGAATTTCCTAACAAGAAGAGATGTCCACTGTATTATCTTGCTAAACTACATGGGAATGTCCTGTTTTGACAAGATAAGTTTAACCCCAATGTTATCTCTGTTTTAACTCTGTACTAATTAATCGTGTAGAAGGGGAAGGGTATGAACTAATTTACAACCTACATGGTCTTGAAACCCCTTGAAGCAAGACAGACCAGATGGAGTAAAGATAATGGAAGAAGCAGAGGGGTGTACTGAAGATGTCAAACCCGACCTCCATAAGGGTAAAAAGAGGACTTGCCTTCGCTTGAGGAAACACAACCAGCGCGCTGGCGGCATTGCACTTGTGAGGTAAGATCCTACCTGACGACCCCGAATTTAAAAAAAATAATGAAATGAAATGAAATGAAATGAAATGAAATGAAATGAAATGAAATGAAATGAAATGAAATGGCGCAGGTGGCAGGGCCCTCCCCGCCTCACAGGCGCCGCTGACCGTTGGGGGGCGCCGCGCGCCCGCCTCGGCCGTTGGGGCCTGAGGGAGCGGCGCCTCCTTCCCCACCCCGCCCCGGGCAGGGCCTGCCCTGCCGGCCGCCGCTTCCCGTTTCCGGAAGATTTCTTTCGACGATTTTTTTGCCGGTTGGGGGTTGTGGAGGAGGTGATTCTCTCGGTAAATTGCGGCAGCGTCGGTGGCCATGAACCCCGAGATGCTCGGCCCAGGCTGGGAATGGTCCGTCCTGTCAGGGGGAATCCAGCAGCAGTGGCGTGGAAGAGTCACTCAGGATTTCCGAAACCACCTTGTTCATAAATTGTAGTAGCTAATATCAAAACTGTCTCCTGCCAGGTGAGTCCCTGCCTCTGAGGTGTATGTGTGGGGCAGGAGGAAGCCTGGCTTCCAAAATCAGGGGGCTGGGGGACGAGTTTTGTCAGGGACCGAGAGAAGGGAAAGCAGAAGCCTGAAAGATGGAGGTGCCTCTGCTGGTTTGGGGGCTGTTGGATTGGAAGTCCGAGGCAATCGAGAGAATTCAGGACCTTGGGATGACTGATCAAAGGATCAGGAGCACAACTAGTGTCTTCCAGTTGCTCTCTACATCTACCTGAAAGGAGATTGTAGCGAGGTGGGAGTTGGCCTCTTTTAGCAAGTAATAGGCAATAGGACAAGAGGAAATGGCCCCAAGTTGTGCCAGAGTAGGTTTAGATTGGATATTAGCACTGAAAGGGTTTTCAAGCATTGGAATATGCTGCCCAGCAAAGTGGTTGAGTCGCCATCCCTGGTGGTCTTTAAAAGACAGGCAGGTGTAGTGCTGAGGGACAAGGTTTAGTGGCAACTTGGCAGTGCTAGGTTAACGGTTGGACTTGATGATCTTAAAGGTCTCTTCCAGCCATAACAACTCTATCATTCTAAATGTTGCACTCTGTTCTCAAGCTACCTACCTGGGGGGCAGTGCCCCTGGGAGCAGTGGCAGTACCACAGTCAGAAGATTCGCTTGCTGCTTTGTGTTCAGATCACTGGGGTTAGTGCTGATGTCCCTGTCTGGGGGTATTCTAACCACTTGGGTGCTTTTATTTTTCCCCAGAGTCCAAGCCATATTTCCCACTCCTGACCCCCGCAGACCTCCTGACCCTGAAGGATCGGCGTATGGAGAATCTGGTGGCGTACGCTCGGAAAGTGGAAGAGTATATATTTGAATCAGCAAAAAGCTGGGTGAGATGCCATCCTCTGTCGTCCAGTTGTGTGTGTCTGCCTTGATTGCATAGTGACTGGGGAGTTAGCGGAGTGAAAGCACAGATGAGACCCCCAGGCTGAGGAAGTGTGTATTTGGGGGCTGCTGGGTGGTGTGTAGGAACCAGCCAGCTGCAGGCTTCTATCTGGGTGTGCCTGTCGGGGTGTGCTGTGCCTGAGACTTCTCGGTGTCCCCTGAAAGCAGCATGAAGCTCTTCAGTCTGAGTCTCCCAAAGAAATGTTGGACACAAGAAGAGAAATGTCCTAATGGTTGCCAGCAGTGCCCCTTTTTGCCCTCCTGTCTGCCCAGCAGCCCCTGCAAAAGGGAGAGCCACCCCCACCCAAGTGGAAATGTGTGTGTGGAAGGCTGTTTCCAAGCTTGAATCACTGTGACCTGTAGCCTTTGCTTAATGTGTGTGTCATCTCCTTTCCTGACTTGTATTCCTCCCCAACAGGCAGAGTACTGTTACTTGGTAGTGGAGAAGATCTATGAGATTGAGAAAGAATTGGAGGAGAAACAAAGAACCAGGCTGCAGAAGCAGAACATGATCCCAAGTGCTCCGGGCATGCCACAGGCTCCCATGAATCAAGGGCCCAACATGGGACAGCCCCAGCCAGGGATGTCTACAAGTAAGAACAGTTGGGTTACCGACCACGTGGTGCGGGGGAATCCTCTACTGTCACGGTCATCATGGACAGGCTGGTGACCATTTCCCTTTTTTGGTAAAATTAGCCTGCCAGAAGTTAAGCAGAACACTTCCTGTTTGGTGGTTTTTTTTTTTTTCCTTCTTCTGTTTCCTCGTTGGTTTTCTGAGCTGTTCTACCTTACTTTCCTTTATCAAAGGACGTCATTGTGAAAGTATAACTAAGGGTTACAAGTCTATAAACATTTTTTCTTCCAAATGGCTGCCTTCCCCAGTGCTGATCACAGAAATGAAACCCTTGCTATGCATTTTGTTTTCTTAACTGTGTCAGCATAGGAGGTGAGAGGAAAAGCATTACTAAAGCTGTGTGCACCTTCCCACTCCACTCAAGAATTTCAAAGCTGGCCCTGTAACCAGGCTGCCACTGGGTGCTGGAGGTGAAAGTAGGCCCATGGACTGCCAGGATCCTCATTAGCTCTTTGAAATGACAGAGAGTAGAAAACTAAAAAAAAAGGAGGCACTGGAGGAGCAGCGGATGAATTTATGAAGCCTTTGGACCTGGAGCATGAGCTCCCCACCCCAGACCATGGGTGAGGGGACAGTCCCAGTAGACAAGCACAAAGAGGCAGTGTGCCAGTGCTCCTTAAGGAAGTTGTGGTGACGAGGAACAGACCTGGTGCTGAAGTACAAAAAGCTTCTCCAGCTGCACAACTTTGAGCTAAGCGTCTGTGTCCAGCTTCGAGAAAGCAGCCTGGCCTCTGTACTGCAGGAATAATCCCTCCCATTGCATCCTGAACTTCTTCTGTGCTTTCACCTGACAGCAGCAGCCCTTTTGTAATGATCTTTCTAAAATTTCTATTTCAGATGGCATCAAAACAGAGATCAGGCCCAGAACAGCAGTAGGGAACGAGATAGGAAAAGTGAAGTCTAATCCAAGTTTTGGAGTTTGGTTTCTTGACAATGTGTTAAAGCTCATGATGGGTTACCTGAGAGATTATTGCAGTAGAAAGATTTAATGAACCTTCAATTTTGTCTCTATGTCTTTTCTGGAAGCATCTTTGTTGTCTGTCACGCAGTGCACTGTCTAGCAGTATTTGCAAGGGAACGACAGCCTCTGTAATTTATTTCAATATCAGCTGCATTGTTTGAATACTGTAAAAGCAGTTTTCTGTTTCTTAACAGTGCTGGAAAATTGATCAGGAAAGCTGAAGCTGGAGGATTCCTAATGCTATGGAAATCTGCTGATCAAGTTGCACCCTGTAGGCTTTGCAAGCTCCTCGTTACTGTCCTGTAATTAGGCTGTGACCCCAATCACTACCCCAGATTCCCAGCATGATCGGCACCGACAGTGACACTCCTTCGCGTTTATAGAGTGACAGGCTGTGGCCTCGTGCTGACGCCTTTGGAAGAGCAATCCACGTGTGTCTGGAGGATGGGAGAGCCTGTGGAATGAACCCTGTCCGTGCTGCCTCACTTCCACCTGCGAGAGGCCGCACTGTACACGCCAGAGACGGGCTGTGCCTGCGCTCCGCACATCCGTTGGGTAGCTGCTCACTGCAAAGTCCGTACAGGGTAGGAGTGTTCAGCACAGGCTTTGGTTGGTGGGTTGGTTTTTTCTTTTTAATTTCTACAATTTCAGCACAATGAAGGCAAGAACAAAGTGAAAGAGAATGGGAAACAGTTCACCATCTCGGCGGGGCGCAGCTTTTGCGTAAAAGGGAATGGATGGCAGAGACGTGGGGCGAGACGCTGCCTTCCTGGCAGCCGGCTGGGGTGAGGGTTGTTGCTTGTCCGGCACCGCTGGGACCGCGCCGCTCTTCCATGGGGAACAACAACGCCAAAAGGGAGAGAAGCATTTGCACTCTGAAGAACCCATGGCTTGAAGCCTCTTTTGCACAGGTAGTAGGATTTTTTGCCAAATAAAACATCGCTTTTTTGTGCATGAAGTCCCCGAGACCGATGATTTGAGGACACGGGGAGCAGCAGCCTCGACTCATGGGGGCTACTGACCCCGGGACGCAGCAAGGGCAGGGTGGGAGGCACTTGCCGCGCTAACGGTGTGCCTCCCACCTAAAACCAAATCCTTACCCACTCCCCAAGGGTTGTAGGAAGCTGTGTGCGTCCTGTGTTGTGTTTTAAGACACAGGATTCCAGCTCTGCGTCTCCGCGGGGCTCACGTCCTCTCGGGAATGCTGGTGATTGCTGGGTGCCAAACGGGTCCGAGGGGCTGAAGTCTGGGCGTTTGTTGTTTACATACTGCTGGAACTGAGCGAGCGAATGCAGAGCTGCGAGAACCGGACGGGTGGTGCCCGCCAGCGCTCTCCGGCGTGGTGCCCGGAGAGGCGGGACCGGGGCCCGGCCTCTCCTCCGCCCCTGGGTGGGACCACCGCCCGGCGCCATGGCGGCAAGAGAACTACAGCTCCCGGTGTGCTCCGCGGGCGGCGCGGCGAGAACAAGATCTTCGCTGATTGGTTTTCTTTCCCCGGTTCCTGCCAATCAGAGGCGCCGCTGAGGGGGGGACGTGCTCCCCGCGCGCGAGGCGGGCTAGCGGCGTCCCGGGAGCCATGGAGCAGGAGCAGGAGCAGGAGCAGGATCGGGGGGAGGTGAGCGGCGACGGCCCGGGTCGGGGGCTCCTCCGGGGTCGGAACCGGGCCGGTGGGGGGCCGCCCGCCCCTACAGCCACGCAGCCGCCCGCAGGGCGCTGGGAAAAGCCTTGGGGCACCGGGCTGTGCCGGCCGGTACGCTGAGGGAGGGCGCGAGGCCCGGGGTAACGGCCGCGGTGTGGTACGGGGGTAACGGCTGCCCGCGGCCCGGAGGGGGCGAGGAGCGCCGGGCCGCCTCCTCCTCACCGTCGTGTTGTTGTGGTTGCCGGCGTGGCCGTCCGCCCCGCCCCCGTGCTGCGGGGAGCGGGCTGGTGCTGGAGGGGACGATGGGTCTGACCCGAGCGGGATGGGGCCTCCGCGTCCCCCGCGCATCTCTGGGCGAGCTGCGGGGGATGCTGTCCCTGCTGATCAGCGCCTGGGAACCTGTAACGTGTCCCCAAGTTTCATTCGCGTTCGGTGAAGAGTAACGATCCAAAGATACTCACTTCCCGTGAGCTGAGGGAAGGTGCGCCCCGGAAAGGGGGCAAGAAGGAGGTGAACGTGCTTTTTTGAGGAGTTCAGGCGTTTCAGACATCAGGAATGCTGTCTGAGGATGTGGGTCTGCAGGAGAGCAACTCTGTCTTCAGGGAACAACCTGGGTACCTCGGGTCTGTTTTGTGTGAAATCCAGGGAGGATGTGGGGAGACATCAGTGAGTGAAGTCTGATCTTCCTGTTCATGTGTCTATAACAATACCCAGGAGCCAAGGATTGCATGGAATTTAGCGCTGGAAGGTGTTGGACCTCCCGCTGATCTTTTGTTGTTGCTCGCTTGGATGACCAATTGTATCCCGGTGCCTCGGGTGACTGTTCCAATCTACCTTTTTGTTCCATCTTTTGTTGTGCTGATGCTGACTTCTGGCTGCTCTTTCATGAGTTGCTAACACCTTTTCCCAGCTTCTTTTGCATGTGTTTGGAGCCCGGTTTAAATTCTAATCTGAGCAACAGTCACAGGATTTCTGTGCCCTTTCTTTAGTCACTGCTTCTCTGCTCTCCTGCTGTAACAGCAAGTACGAAGAGCTAGTGAAGGTGTTTAGTTGTGGAGACATCTGGTTGCAGGGAGAAACTCTTAACAGGCGCTGTTCTGTTATCCTGCTGATGCAGCTTCTGAACTGAAATCAGCCGTGGACTACGTGGTTTCCAAAGAACATGAACCTTCTCCAGAGTTGAGATTGTCCTGCTGACATCCAGGCTGTACTGCTCTTGTGAGCTATGGTGGCCACAGTGTGCAGCTTTGTGATCTGCACTCAAGTTTAATGACTTTAATGTTGATGGTGTCTGCACTGCTCTCTGCAGTTGTCAGGAGAGACAGTACATGGATGGACGCAGTCTTCTCTGTCAGCATGGCAATGTAGTCCCTGGATTCTCTCCATGTTCCTCAAACTTTTTTTTTCTATGTAGTTGCAGCTCTGTGGCTGTTTGTTTGCTCTTGGGAAGGAGAATGCAGCCTAAGAAATACCTGTAATGAGACCTGTTGCAGAAGTACTAGATTCCCTGCTAGGGGTTCAGAGTCCTGTCTTTGGGGCTGTTACATGGATGCATTGCTCACCCTGAGGACTCTCCCCAGTCTAGATGGCCCCCCTGCCAACGAAGGGGATGGGGTGTGGTATAAAATGTCTGTTTTAAAGCAGACTGGCTCTTTTTTTTCAGTTGGTGTCTACTTTGTGCCACAAGACTTCATCTGCAGAGCGGATGGAGGAGGAAGGCGATGACGATGAGGAGGATGATGACTTGGACCTCTTTGGGGGTTATGACAGCTTCAGGGGCTACAATAGCAGCATGGCCAGCGACAGCAGCTCCTGTCTGGATGAGTCTAGTGACGATGAGGTGGCAGACCGGGAAGCTGGAGAGCTTCCAAACTCTCTTGTGCACCAGCTGCCCACAGGCCGGCTCACAGAGGACAACGGCTCCGAGCCAGGTACTGGCTGTTCTACCTAAAGCACATGTGTGATGGAAAGAACAAGGGCTGGGGGAAGCCGAAGGGTGCGTGATTGCATCTTGAGTATGCTTTGGGAGCAGCACTGAATTAAGACTGTGTTTTCTGGGCTATGTGGGGGAGCTGCTATGTGTAATGAGGGTTATCAGAGCTTGGCTCTGCCCTTGTAGTGCGTCGACCTTGCCAACTGCTCACGTTTTAATGCCTTCCTTCCCTCAGCTGTGTGCGAGATGTGTGGGATTGTGGGCACCAGGGAGGCTTTCTTCTCCAAGACCAAACGTTTCTGCAGCGTCTCCTGCTCCAGAAGCTATTCCTCAAATTCCAAGAAGGCCAGCATCCTGGCCAGACTGCAAGTGAGTCAAAACCTTTCCTTCTTCCCTGGAGCAGGATGTGTGTATACGCAGGGGTGAGTGGTTGCTCTCTAAAGATCAGACTGCCATTACAAGGGGCTTGTTCTTCCTGCTTGAAGTCCCCTGAGAGTGCATGCCAGCTGAAAGGTGGTGCTCCCTGGAAGCTGAGGAAGGATACATTGATATTTTAACTGCTGTTTCTTCTCATTCCTGTAAGCATTAGTAAAAATTGTTGGAACCTGAAAATTGCCCCAAAGAAGAGATGCATGCCTTGCTGGCCAGTTGCAGGGACTGGCCTCCTCTCCTGTGCCACTAGTGTTCCTAATATTCCTTCTTTTGTAGGGGAAGCCACCAACGAAGAAAGCTAAAGTTCTGCACAAGGCAGCCTGGTCGGCCAAGATCGGGGCCTTCCTCCATTCGCAGGGCACAGGGCAGCTGGCAGATGGGACACTGACAGGCCAGGACGGTGAGTGTGGGTGAGGTGTGAGGAGGTGCAGCTGCTGGAACCACAGTAAAGGGGACATCTGGAGGGCTGTAAGTTCTACAGTCCATTTCCTCCCCTCTGGCATGCTGCCTTGTACTGAAACAATGTGTGTGGATTGCTCCAGTGCAGGCTGGCAGGACACAGGGCACAACTCTCTCCCTCACCTTGTTGGTAACAGAGCCTTGGTGGGTTCCTGCCCATCTACTGTTGCAGCCTTATCCTTGTTCCTCTTGTGACTTGGACTGAAGCATAAGCTCTGTGATCACAGTCTCAAGAGGTATAGCAAAGCTACCTTAAAGGCGCCCTGCTGCTCCCAGCCATTCTGCTGCCCTGTGGCCTGTGGGGAGTTATATTTAAGCCAAGTCATTCACTGATCAACTTGAGGAACAGCCAGGCAGTGCAGCTGAAGGAGTAGCAAGCTGCTGCCTTAGGGCAAAAGTGAAGGCCCAGGGGGTGGCAGCAGGGATTGATCCCTGAGCAGACTGCTGCTGGAGCAGAGCTGTAGCCTTGGATCAGGGGTGACTGTGGGATTAATACCTCAGTGCTTCACTCTGATTTTTCCTAACACCCTCTGGGGAAGCAAGCGTTGCTGATATGACCCAGCAGTGTTGCTGCAGAGAGGCACAGCTGTTAAGTGGTTTAGTACTGACATGATGCAGCCTCCACTCTCACCTCTGGGCTGCGTTTGAGCTCTTTTTTTGCCCCTCCCACCCCCCTTTCCCCAAAATCAAGTGACAGCAAGAATTGATTATTATATTGTGCCTCTCACGGAGGGCTGGTCCCCATGCACTTGTGGGATCTAATTGGCCCCCAGGGAAAATGCAGTGGAATGCTGAGTCCTTGTGTGCTGGTGATGGACAGATGGCTCTGTCCCAGAGCAGACCACAATGTGGCTGCAAGCTGTAGTCCAGAGGTAACTGAGCTTCTGTGCCTTTTCTATAATCTCACCTGATTTTCTGCTCTCTTGTCTGCCTACAGCACTTGTCCTGGGCTTTGACTGGGGAAAATACCTGCAGGAGCATGGCTTCAAGGCAGCTCCTGTCAGCTGCTTCAAACACGTGAGTTCCTCTTTTCTGTGCTTCGCAGTGCACGTGGGACATGTTGTATGCATGGGGCTCCCCTGTAATCCTGTGACTGGGTGGTGGGGAGAGAGCAGGGAAGCTGGTTATTGAGCCTCAGCTAGCGTAAGGAAAGAAGCTGGGGCTTCTCACAGCTAAGAATGAGTGTCCCACAGAGGGACAGGAGTTTTGGGGGAGGAAGAAGGCTGATTGTGATGGACCAGTGCTGGCGAGAGACAGAATTAGTTCTGACAGGGTGGGATAATGGCAAGTGCCTTTGCAGTTTGTGTGGGTGAGCACAGCCCAGGGTGATGTGCAGGGAGGAACTCAGCTCATGTGGACCTGGCAGTAGCTGTCCCTCCAGAGTGTCTGGAGTCTTTGTGGGCCAAGTAGCCGTGGCAGATCCGTGAAAGAATGGCAGTTCTTAGGTATTATAGCAGCCCCCAGCCTCTCTGTGTATGAAGACTCACTTGTTATG